CAGAATTTTAATGAATTTTAGCGCAGTTTAGGAGTCAAATCAGACCCAAATTTGTGAGGATTTTGGGATTTGGAAGAGAAGGAACCCGAGGAGCCGCACGGGGAGGATTTGAGAGCKGGAGCGAAGGAAATCATTGCGCGCGCAGAATTTTACCCAATTTTCGAGGAATTTTGGGGCCAAACCCGTCACGATAGGAGCGGATTTGGGAGAGGAGGAACCCGAGGAGCTGCGGGGGTGGCACCGGGGATGTCACCGAGCCCGAGCCCTCGGGGCGGACTCGGAGGAGCCGCGGCCGCTCCCCGCCGGTCCCGCCCCGTCTGCGGCCGCCCCCGCCCGCGTTCCCGGCGGGATTTGCTCCGCCGAACCCTCCTCGAGCCGGGAAGAGAAATTTTTGGGTGCTCCCGGTTCCCCGGTGAAGGATTTTCCAACAAATTTGGGGCTGAGAAGGGAGATTTGGGGAATTTTTGGGAGGACGGTTACAAAATTCCCCTTTTTTGGGGGGATTTTCCGGGTCTTTTCTGGCGGGATTTGCTCCGCCGAGCCCTCCCCGAGCCGGGAAGAGAAATTTTTGGGTGCTCCCGGTTCCCCGGGTGAAGAGTTTCCAACAGATTTGGGGCTAAGAAGGGAGATTTGGGGGGAGATTTTGGGGGAGCAGTTGCAAAATTCCCTCCCCGCGCCGGGAACGGGCGGAGCGAAACTTTTGGGTTCTCCCGGTTCCCTGAGTGAAAGATTTTCCAACAGATTTGGGGCTGAGAAGGGAGATTTGGGGAAATTTTGGGAGGACGGTTGCAAAATTCCCCTGTTTTGGGGGGATTTTCCGAGTCTTTTCTGGCGGGATTTGCTCCCCTCAAACCCTCCCCGTGCTGGGAATCTGCGGAGCGAAACTTTTGGGTTCTCCCGGTTCCCTGGGTGAAGGGTTTTCCAGCAAATTTGGGGCTGAAAAGGGAGATTTGGGGAAAATTTAGGAGGATCTGATGGAATATCCGCCTTTTTTTTGGTTTTCTGACTCGTTCCCGGCGGGATTTGCACCCTCAAACCCTCCCCGCCGAGAACCCGCGGACAGAAACTTTTGGGTTCTCCCGGTCCCCCGGTGAAGGATTTTCCAACAGATTTGGGGCTAAGAAGGGAGATTTGGGGAGATTTTGGGGGAAACGGATGGAAAATCCGCCTCTTTTTGGAGTTTTCCGCGTATTTTCCAGCCCGGTGGATGCAGGGAGTTGAAATGTTTGGATTTATTTGGGATATCAGGAAGGCGGGAACGGCGGGGGCTGTGCCAGGGATGGGATTTGGGGTGGATTTTGGGAAAAGGTTCCACCCCTGAGATTTGGGGAATGGCCGCGATCCCAAAGTGTGGGATTTTGGGGTGTCCTGGGCAGGGATTTGATGATCCCCGCGGGGTCCCCTTAGGGAAGGAATTTAAAGGAAAAATATAGAGAAATTAAGGAAAATCGGGGGTTTAGGGAGAAATTTAAAGGAAAAATATAGAGAAATTCAGAAAAATCGGAATTTTAGGAAGAAATTTTAAGGAAAAAGATGTAGAAATGAAGGGAAATCGGGATTTAGGGAAGGAATCTTAAGGAAAAAGATGTAGAAATGAAGGAAAATCGGGATTTTAGGGAGAAGTTTAAAAGAAGAGAGATAAATGAAGGGAAATTCGGGATTTTAGGAAGAAATTTAAAAGAAGAGGGAGAAATGAAGGGAAATTCGGGATTTTAAGGAGAAATTTAAAAGAAGAAGAGGGAGAAATGAAGGGAACGCACGAGGCCGATGCCAAGATCGTTTCTTTTATTGTTTCAGACACGGAAAGGACAAAGATCACGAAAAAGAACAAACGGGGAAATCCCTCCGTCCCCGCCCCCAGCAGGAGGAGGAATCCCAGAAATTTCACCCGGGGAAAAAAATCCCCCGGGGGCACAAAAATCGCTCGTGGTTTCATCCCGCGAGGGGCGGCGCTTTTCTTGGGGTGAAAACAGCAGGAATGAGGCGGAAAGCGGAGTGGAATTTTGGGAAACCCAGATGGAAAACCCCAAAAGGAGCGGGGTTTCTATGGGATCCCATATGGAAAACCCCAAAAGGAGCGGGGTTTCTATGGGATCACACATGGAAAATCCCAAAAGGAGCGGGGTTTCTATGGGATCCCATATGGAAAACCCCAAAAGGAGCGGGATTTCTGTAAGATGCCATATGGAAAATCCCAAAAGGAGTGGGGTTTCTATGGGATCACACATGGAAAATCCCAAAAGGAGCAGGATTTCTATGGGATCCCATATGGAAAACCCCAAAAGGAGCGGGGTTTCTATGGGATCCCATATGGAAAATCCCAAAAGGAGCGGGATTTCTGTAAGATGCCATATGGAAAATCCCAAAAGGAGCGGGGTTTCCATGGGATCACACAGGGAAAACCCTGAAAGGAGCGGGATTTCTATGGGATCACACATGGAAAACCCCAAAAGGAGTGGGATTTCTATGGGATCACACATGGAAAACCTCACAAGGAGCAGGGTTTCTATGGGATCACACATGAAAAATCCCAAAAGGAGCAGGATTTCTATGGGATCCCATATGGAAAATCACAAAAGGAGCGGGGTTTCTGTAGGATCTCACAAGGAGCGGGGTTCTGTCGAATCCCACAAGGAGTGGGATTTCCATGGGATCCCACAGGAAAAACCCCAAAAGCAGCAGGGTTTCAGTCGGATCCCACAAGGAGTGGGATTTCTGTNGGATTTCTGTGGGGTTGCAGTCGGATCCCGCCTCAGGGAGCCTGGAATTTGGGACAGCAGGGGACAGGGCGGCGCTGGCCGCAGGCTGAGGTGACCAGGCCACCGCACACGGGGCAGGTCTGGGTGACACAGGKGGTGGCACAGGAGTCAGAGCAGCGGGTGGCGGCCACGCGGGCACCGCCGCGACACTGGGGGACACAGGGGGTGGCACAGCACGGGTCCTGGCACGTGGTGGCACACGTGGTGGCACAGGAGGTGACACAGCAGGGGTCCTGGCAGGTGGTGGCACAGCAAGGATCCTGGCAGGTGGTGACACACGTGGTGGCACAGCAGGGATCCTGGCACTTCGGAGCACAGGGCGTGGCACAGCAGGGATCCTGGCATGTGGTGACACATCTGGTGGCACAGGAGGTGGCACAGCACGGGTCCTGGCACTTCGGGATGCAGCAGGGGTCCTGGCATGTGGTGACACAGCAGGGATCCTGGCATGTGGTGACACATCTGGTGACACAGGAGGTGGCACAGCAGGGGTCTTGGCACTTCGGGGCACAGGAGGTGGCACAGCAGGAATCCTGGCAGGTGGTGGCACAGCACGGGTCCTGGCACGTGGTGACACATCTGGTGGCACAGCAGGGATCCTGGCACTTCGGGGCGCAGGAGGTGGCACAGCAGGAGTCCTGGCAGGGAGCACAGCAGGGGTTCTGGCGCCTGGTGACACATCTGGTGACACAGGAGGTGGCACAGCACGGGTCCTGGCACATGGTGGCACAGCAGGAGTCCTGGCAGGTGGTGGCACAGGAGGTGACACAGCAGGGGTCCTGGCAGGGAGCACAGCAGGGGTTCTGGCGCCTGGTGACGCATCTGGTGACACATCTGGTGGCACAGCAGGGATCCTGGCACGTGGTGGCACAGCAGGGATCCTGGCACTTTGGAGCACAGGGAGTGGCACAGCAGGGGTTCTGACACGTGGTGGCACAGGAGGTGGCACAGCAGGGGTCCTGGCACGTGGTGACACAGCAGGGGTCCTGGCAGCTGGTGGCACAGGTGGTCACTCCCTGGCAGCAGGGATCCTGGCACGTGGTGGCGCATTTGGTGACACAGCAGGAATCCTGGCATCTGGTGACGCACTTGGTGACATCCTGGCAGCAGGGATCCATACACCTGGTGGCACATCTGGTGACACAGCACGGGTCCACACACCGGGTGGTGCACCTGGTCATGCAGCAGGGGTTCTGGCACCTGGTGACACACTTGGTGACATTCTGACAACATGGATCTTGGCATGTGGTGACACACTTTTTGACATCCTGACAGCACGGGTCAACACAGGTGGTGACACATTTGGTAACCTCCTTGCAGCACGGATCAACACACCTGGTTCTGCATTTGGTGACATCCTGACTGCACGGATCTACACACGTGGTGACACACTTGGTGACATCCTGACAGCAGGGGTCCTGGCAGGTGGTGACACATTTGGTGACATCCTGACAGCAGGGATCTTGGTAGGTGGTGGTGCAGGTGGTCACCTCTTTGTAGCACGGATCTTGACACGTGGTGACACATTTGGTGACATTCTTCCTGCAGCATGGATCAACGCATGTGGTGACACACTTGGTGACATCCCGACAACATGGATCCACACAGGTGGTACACTTGGTCACTTCCTTGCAGCAGGGATCCTGGCACGTGGTGACACACTTGGTGACATCCTGACAACACGGATCCACACAGGTGGTGACACACTTGGTGACATCCTGACAGCAGGGGTCCTGGCACGTGGTGACACGTTTGGTGACTTCCTTGCAGCACGGGTCAACACAGGTGGTGGCACATGTGGTCACACAGCAGGGATCTTGACACGTGGTGACACACTTGGTGACATCCTGACAACAGGGATCTTTGCAGGTGGTGACACACTTGGTGACCTCCTTGCAGCAGGGATCCTGGCACGTGGTGACACACTTGGTGACATCCTGACAGCACGGATCCACACAGGTGGTGACACATTTGGTGACATCCTGACAACAGGGATCCACGCACCTGGTTCTGCACTTGGTCACCTCCCTGCAGCACGGGTCAACACGCTTGGTGACACACTTGGTGACATCTTGACAGCAGGGATCTACACATGTGGTGACACACTTGGTGGCACAGCAGGGGTCCTGGCAGGAGGTGACATATCTGGTGGCACAGCAGGGATCAACACACGTGGTGACATATCTGGTGGCACAGCAGGGATCCTGGCAGGAGGTGACACATCTGGTGACACAGCAGGGATCCTGGCACGGGACAGGACACTTGGACCCTTTTTTGTACCCGGGCTCACACCTGGCGCTGGCCTTGGCGCTTTTCTTGGTCCCTTTGCGGCACCAGGGCAGGGCCCAGGGGCTGCTCCACTTGGTCACCTTCTTGCAGCAGGGCTGGTAGCACGGCGTCAGCACCTTGGGGACCTTCCTGGAACACGGCGCCACGCACGTGGTGACACATTTGGTGACATCCCTGCAGCATGGATCAACGCACGTGGTGACACACTTGGTGACATCCCTGCAGCATGGATCAACACACGTGGTGACACATTTGGTGACATCCCTGCAGCATGGATCCACACACGTGGTGACACACTTGGTGACATCTCTGCAGCATGGGTCTACACACGTGGTGACACATTTGGTGACATCTCTGCAGCACGGGTCTACACACGTGGTGACACATTTGGTGACATCTCTGCAGCATGGATCAACACATGTGGTGACACATTTGGTGACATCCTGACAGCAGGGATCTACACACGTGGTGACACATTTGGTGACATCCCGACAACACGGATCCACACAGGTGGTGCACTTGGTCACCTCCTTACAACAAGGGTCTTGGCACGTGGTGACACACTTGGTGACATCCTGACAGCAGGGATTAACACACGTGGTGGCACACGTGGTGACACAACATGGATCTTGACACGTTGTGGTGCACTTGGTGACATCTTTGCAGCAGGGATCCTGGCAGGTGGTGACACATTTGGTGACATCTCTGCAGCATGGATCCACGCAGGTGGTGGCACATGTGGTCACACAGCAGGGGTCTTGACATGTGGTGACACATTTGGTGACATCTTTACAACACGGATCCACACACGTGGTGACACACTTGGTGACCTCCTTGCAGCACGGATCTTGACACGTGGTGACACACTTGGTGACATCTCTGCAGCATGGATCCACACACGTGGTGACACACTTGGTGACATCCTGGCAGCATGGATCCTGGCACGTGGTGACACATTTGGTGACATCCTGACAGCAGGGATCTTGGTAGGTGGTGGTGCAGGTGGTCACCTCCTTGCAGCAGGGATCTTGACACGTGGAGACACACTTGGTGACATCCTGGCAGCAGGAGTCTTGACACGTGGTGACACACTTGGTGACATCTTTACAACACGGCTCCCCACACGTGGTGACACACTTGGTGACATCTTTACAACACGGATCCACACAGGTGGTGACACATTTGGTGACATCTTTACAACACGGATCTTGACACGTGGTGACACACTTGGTGACATCCTGGCAGCAGGAGTCCTGGCACGTGGTGACACACTTGGTGACATCTTTACAACACGGATCCACACACGTGGTGACACACTTGGTGACATCTTTACAACACGGMTCCMCACACGTGCTGACACACGTTGTCACCTCCTCCCCGCACGGACCCTGACCCGTGGTGCCACACGTTGTCACCTCCTGCCCGCAGCAGTCCCGTGTCACCGAGCTGCTCTGTGTCACCCTGCAGCAACAACAGCAGCACCCGGGTCTGCCGCACGTCCCTGTCACGCCCCGGTAGCACTGGGGGACACCGGCGGTGGCCACCAAACCACAGGGATTGGCACAGCCGCCAGTTTGGGCAGTTTGGGCCAGGCTGGCCAGGCTCTCCAGGCCACCCAGAGTGACCAGGGTGGTGCTGCCCGGCTGCAGCCCGGGGTAGCAGGAGGGGCGGGAGCGGCGCAGCCCCCGGCAGCGCTCGGAGCTCACCGGGAAGCTCCGCACCAGCACGGCCGGAGGAGGGATGCAGAGCTGCGGCAGCGGGCAGCCGGTGGCCAGGCGCATCTTTGGGGGGTGGTTGGGGGGCGGCTGCAAGCAGGAAAAAAAAACAAAATTAAAAAAAAATTAAATTATTTTCTCAAAAAAAACCCACGCATTCCAAGCTGGTTTATGCACTGAATTAAATTATCGTGTTTTTTTTCCAGGGAATCCCGAGCTGGGAAAACCGAGTGACTCTCACGGAACCATTTGGAGCAATTTTCGACCAATTTCTCCTCAAAACGGGAAGGAAAAATTCCTCGAGCTCCTCGAGGTTTTCTGGAGGGTTCAAARCCTCCGCCTGCTCACGGCTCCACTCGGTTTGGGATTCATCTTCGCCGTTCCCTCCCTAATTTCACCCAAAAACGCTTCTGCCCTSATCCACGCTGGAGAACCTCGCCAAGCAAAGGCTCCGCTGATCCCACAAAATCCACGCGGATTCCTCCGGGCAGGGCCCGACCCGGCAGCCCGAACGTCTCCGCTMCTCTCCTCCCGTCCCTCCGCTGTCCTTTGAAGTCCTTTGGAACCCTCCCAAAGGCCGCCGAGTCCCCGGGCAAAGCCGGGCAGCAAAACCGGGCTCGGAGACAGAGAGGAGCAAAACCCCGAGCCGGGAAACCCCAGAGAAAATGGGATTCAAATGTGGGCAACCCCAACCCCAAACATCCCTTTAAACTCTTTTAATTTTCTCCTGCGAGGCCCCGAAACGAAGCGAACCCAAAGTTGGGGAAAAACGCAGCCGGACTCACCCGAAYCTGCACCAGCGAGCGCCAAAAATGAAACCAGAACCGGCTCGAGGAGCAGGAAAATGGGAATCCTTTTATAGGATTTGAGTGTCCGGGGCTCCGGAAGTGAGACACCTCAGGGGTATGGAAATCAAATATTTAATAATCCCGACCTGCTCGGCTCCAATCCTTCAATTACTCGGCCCGACGCTGTAATTTTTTTTATGTTGTCCCGGTGGGACACGAGACTCCGTGACTCCGAGGAATTCCCGATCCGCGTGTTTCCTACGGACTTGGAAATGAGGATGAGGCAGCCGGGAAACAATCC